TAATTGCATTTTCGTTTGAGTACCAGGCTTCTAGGAATTCCCTGACTGCACTTTTGGTGTTTCCTCTGTCTAAGATTTCGACATTATCCCAATCAAATTGATGTCCATAATTGTCTATATGCATTGATACTAAAGAATATATATCGTGTCTTTTCACGGCTGATTTGTGTTCTTGGATTCTAATTCGAAGGGGACGAAGGACGACGAAAGCTCCGCAACCAAACCAACCAGCTCAGAGAACACTATTAATTGCACATATGTATTTTTTCATATCAATGCATGTAGACATTCACGGACACCAAAATGATTGGGAGAATGTAGAAATTTTAAATAGATGAAACACCGAATGTAATTCTAGAGAATTTCTAGCACAGAGGAAAGACCAAAAATGCAGTCAGGGGATTTCTAGCAGCCTGGTACTCAGATGAATCAGCCAGCAATTAACAAACACATTACTATAGATCAAATTTACTAACTAATGAAAAAAATATTAATCACATGACAAGAAAGTTCAAATTCCAAGTCAAACAAAAAAAATGATCAGTGAGTGTAAATTGACAACCAATCACAACAATGGTTGTTAGGAGATACAATTATATCATCATTCATGAAAAGATCAAACAAATTCATTTTGTAATAATTAAAGCTTGTGCTGAAGCGATGTCGTCTAGATGGCGGAAGGGGGGGGGGGAAACGAAAGCTTCACAATTATATCAACCTGACATCATCGAGGCATCTTCATAAGAAGCCGACATCACACTAGTTACTGGTATTCAATAAAAGTATCCACTACAGTCCTAAAGGAGGTCAGTCACAAGCCCGAATAGCTTAGTAGTAACGTCTCTGACTGTAGCACTGAGTGACATGGGTTCAAATCTCAGAAGGGACATGAGTTCCTTCAAGGTTGCAGATACGCCCTGAAGACTGATGAGGGCCAGCTAGTACGAAACCTAGTTCCAAGGCTTCTCGGGGCCGATTGCCTCCAACCACCTAAAATCAACAATTCAAAGTGCACCATGATGACGAGCTACCTAGATTGGTGGCTACATTGCAAACGTGATTGATAGGATTCAATCTGCACCAAACAAAGGACTAGACACATCATACTGTGGTGAGAGATGGTTGCTAGCCAAATTGGTTGACAGTAATTGAGGTCAATTTTAGTCATGTGAAAACAAGGTCAAGATGGACGGGCGGATACAGTTAACATATAGATGATCTGACACAGTCACAAAGAGATGCAAGGTTAACTTTGTGTAAGAAACAACCAATCAACAAACTGTATTTTCTACTAACATTAACCTACAATAATGTACATCAAAATCTATAAATATCTGTTGATTTTCTCAAAAAACGATCTGTTGCCTGGCCCTTGTCTTCTGTTGTTACAAGTGTTCAAGGAGCCGATATGTAAACGGAGGTTCACCACTTCGGTCTAGTCAATCAACAGGAAAGTCCAGACTGAATTAAATGATAACTGATACTCGTTGCAGAAGGAAGAGGTGGTTATCGTGGCCCAAGTGGTCTAGTGGATTACACTTTGGAGTTTGGAACGATAGGTACTGGGTTCAAGTCTAAGTAGGAAAACCACCACTCACTGGGGAATGCAAGTACATCCAGTAGGTGACGAGTTTCAAATAGGACAAAAGGAGTATCTTCGATTCCATTGCCAGTCAACATTCATAAAATTACCTAAAGATAAATCCTCATACATCATCGAAGCATTCGCACAAGCAGCTCACAACATGCTGACAAAAGCTGAACACCTGAAAGTATTGGACAGCTATTTCGTCCTAGTTTGGGACTCTTCATTAGTACGCACCAACCGGGGTTGAAGATGAAGCAGTAACTCATCGAAGAAGACATTGCGAAATGGTCGCGCTATGTCGTGAATTGGCACAAGTTAGAATTCATGAACTGGCCATTGGATCGGGTCCCAGTGGCTCAATGGTCTACGAGCTCGCCTTGTCCACCAGAAGGTCCTGTGTTAGAACCGTCGCTGTGGATACGTACTGATGAAGAGCCCCAAACTAGGTCGAAACAGCTGTCCAATACTCCCAGGCCGGTTTTCCAATGGTTCTCTAACCGATGTCAGCTCATGATGAAATCCTCCAGCCAATCAAACAAAAAATCCCTACAAAATCAATACTTGAAAGGCTGAACATTGTTCAGTGTGACATTTCAAATTGATTCGCGAAATATACCCATTAAGACATTGAAATAAGAACAAATTAGTTCAGCGAAGAGTCTCTTTTCGGCGAATTCATTCACTTAGCTGTACAGTCGCAAATATATATACAATTATTTTGTGTGTGTGTGTGTACATTAGGTTTGTCAAAATCAAAATAACAGTTAGTGTGGGTTGTTGATTATATCATCAAGATAATGAAGAAGTTAAAATGTGTGATTAATACTCAAAGTTGTAACTAATTGGGGTGAAGATTGGTAAGATGTGATTAGAGTTACATCATCAAAATAATGAAGAAGTTAAAACGTGTGATTAATACTCAAAGTTGTAACTAAGTGGGGTGAAGATTGGTAAGATGTGATTAGAGTTACATCATCAAAATAATGAAGAAGTTAAAACGTGTGATTAATACTCAAAGTTGTAACTAAGTGGGGTGAAGATTGGTAAGATGTAAGTAGGGTTACGTAATATGGACATGTTTGGAAAGATTAGATGCTAGTGAAGGAGTTTGTAGACAATTATGAAAATAAACTAGATAATAGGTGAAAAGATTGAATGGGTTAGTTACTAAAAATTGTTATACGAAAATTGCAAAAAATTTGATAACAAAATGTTGATGACAAATAAACTTGGAATTAAACCCACGGTAGTAGGAGGGGGTGGAGAAGTTTCTTCTGTGTGCATAACTCAGGCTTTTCCATCCAAATCGCTAAGGCTTCAGCAATGCAAAGTATACGGAAGCTTGTCGATTTTGGAAGGCTTCTTTTGACTTTATAGATGACTTTGAACGACTTCTCCTTGCAAATTGAATGACCAGTGTTGAGTATATGCTCAATAATGGCGCTCCTTATTGCTCCGTTGTTACCTTTCCGTAGCCAGGCGGGATAGTGTTCTTGAACTCTTTTAGATAAAACACGCATCGAACGACCTATATTTTGATGATGTAACTCTAATCACATCTTACCAATCTTCACCCCACTTAGTTACAACTTTGAGTATTAATCACACATTTTAACTTCTTCATTATCTTGATGATATAATCAACAACCCACACTAACTGTTATTTTGATTTTGACAAACCTAATGTACACACACACACACAAAATAATTGTATATATATTTGCGACTGTACAGCTAAGTGAATGAATTCGCCGAAAAGAGACTCTTCGCTGAACTAATTTGTTCTTATTTCAAATTGAATTAAACAGATTAATGCTTACTTGTACGTCTGATTGGTGTGTCCTGTGTATCTATTCAACAGTTCACCAGTTAACGCATCAAATAGACGTAAAGTTGAATCTTGTGTACCGACTAGAAAACATTGACTATCCAGTGTAATTGATACTGATGTAATTGGATAGCCTATATAGTCTTCAATCATTTCACCTTTTACAGAAAAAGTCAATTTGAAAATAACAACAAAAATTGATTAGTATTGTAACGACAGAAGACAAGGGACAGGCAACAGATCGCTTATTTAGAAAATCAAGAGATATTTTTAGATTTTTATGTACATTATTATTCGTTATTACTGGCAGAGAAACAGCGTCTTCTGATTGGTTGTTTTCTCGCTGAAAGTTTTTCTGTCATCTCTTTGTGGCCATTTCTTTGAAGGTCAGACCATATATCTGCGAATCGTATCCGCCCATGCTAAGTCTGCTGTGATTGGTTGTTGAGTTAGTCTTTGTTCTTGTTCTTTTCTCATGACCAAGATTTGGGACGTAACATTGACGTAAAATGCTGTTTACCAATTTCGGCTAGCAGACAACTCTCACCACAGTATCTCTGTATATTAGGATGATGAATGCTATTTAGTGTTCTCCAGAAAGCTTTCATAATTTGATTGATCACTGTGGTTTCATATTATCAAGTTAGATGGTAATAGCTTCAGTACTAAATACACCAGAAAGTCTCCCCAACCATACAGCCAGCCTGATTATGCGAAACATCCAGTGTCAAATATCAATGCTCAAAAAAATAACAAACAATTTTCATGATGGTATTTCTTTAGGAAGGTGACTCAAACATTTCCCATAAATTAACAACAATCTCAGTTTGAAGTAACCTGGTGGATGGTGATTTGGGGAGTCGCACCATTCCCGAAGGGTTTATCGCTCAGCACAGATTCAGAAGGCTCGTTTGGCATATTGTTACAACTTACGCCATCTCTGGCTTAGTAGACGTGATATCCGGTTGGATATCGACAAAAGAACATCTATACTGCCAAACAGTTCGTTCTGTCCTCCTTTATGGGGTTGTCTGTGAGACATGGCCATTGAAAGTGGAAGATACGCAAAGGCCGGCTAGCTGTATTTGATCATATGTGTCTATTTTATGTGTGTAATAAGAGGGTGAATAATTTGGAATTAGTTAGGCTTCGGTCGAGGGTGCTGGGTTAAGAGGGGTAATCAATCGACGATGTTGTGAAATTACACCGATTGAGATGCTTAGGAAAACAGATGTGACGCACGCATGCATCCCTAGCCATCGATCGCCTTCCTCGACAACAGGCATTGTTAACTGACTGACATAGGATGGATCAGGTTGGAAAAGAGCTAGTGGTGGCGGTGGTCAAACCAAAACATAACTTCAACATCAGTCAATGAAATCCATAACAGTCAGTTTAAGGCAACCACCTAGGGAGGTTTACACTGGCTGGCTGACTAGTTGAGGCAGACTCTTCACTGATTCCATATTGAAGATCAGATGGTCAACGAGGAAGGATTAGCAACATGTAACTCTGGAATCGAACCAACCAAGAACCTATTGCTCAAGAAATGTTCCGAAGAAAATAGAGATGGATTAGACAGACGCTGAGAAGAGCGTCGGAGGACATCGCACGCCATACCATCGCTCGACTGGAACACGAGTGGGAAACGACGAGTTTAGCGTGTAGCCGATGGTGACATAAAAGATGTCGTTTCAGGTGGAAATGAAAGCTCATGAGCAATCGTGGGTCTGGTTGAAGTGAACTGTAGAGAAAAGGACAAAATGGAAATGTGGTATTGAATCCCGACGTTCCACTCAGAACCCATGGCAGTAATAATAATGATAATAAGGACGAGGATAATAATAATCTATGCACATAAGATACATGCAAGTGAAAAGCAACAAGCTGGAAGAAGAAGCATCAAAGACAGGACTTCGAGTGAACATAGAGAAAACAGAGGTGATGAAGATTCCTGGCAAACAGCAACAACAACGGACAAAAACCAACACAAATGAGAGAAATCTAAGAGAAGCAACCTCCTCTACCTACCTACCTACCTACCTACCTACCTACCTGGGAAGCATCGTTTCACCTACAGGCGAACGGAACTGACGAGGATATCAAAGTGAGGATCAGGAAAGCAAGGCAAGGAAGCTTTCATTACTCTCAAGTCTGCGCGGAGGTCAACACCACTCAGAAGGCAAAATAAGATCCTGATTTTCAACTCCAATGTGAAGTCAGTGTTACTTACCATATGTACGGATCAGAGGCTTGGCCAGCGCCACACGAAGAGCACTTCAAACAAACTACAAACCTTCGTCAACAACTGTCTTCGCTCAATACTATTCAAGATAAGATGGCCAGAAAAGATCAGAAACAGGGACATTTGGGAGCGAACCGACCCAGCAGGAACTAATTGTGCAAGAAATATGCAGGAGGTCGATTAGCCATACTCTGAGAAAACAAACTACCAAGTGAGAGACATCACACCCCAGACCATTGCTCGAATGGAACCTGAATGGGAAGTGACAATTTGGTCGTCAGTGTGAGGATGATATGGAAGAGGTCATGTGAAGAGGAGATGAAAGCATGTGGGCAGACGTGGAGCCAGGTCAACTGAAAGGCAATGGAGATGTGTGGCTGAAGCCCTATGTTCCTCTAGGAACTAAAGAAGACAATAATAATAATAATACAATAATAAGATATTAAAAAATTAACTAACCTCTACGGATATCATACGTTCGAACACATCGATCAACAGAACCAGTAACAATTTGATTCCGTCGAAATGCACAACAAGTGACACTGTCACGAGCTTCATGCATAGTCTACAGAAAAAAATTAATCAAATAAAAAAGAAAGATAATTTGGATTTTTTGTAACGATTGGTGCTGAATTGTAGTCTGAGTTAACATGATGCCATCATACACTGGAATACAAATACCATTCCATCCATCCGGTTGACGAGTCCCAAGTAAGGAGGAACACTCGTCCTGGATTCCAGTGCTGTTAACTACCTCTAGCTAAGTAACAAGATTAACCATACACCTACGATACAATTGTCAATAGGTTATTCAACATGATGTAATCCCTCATATATGAATGAAGTTAAACCACAACCGCCACCAACCAAATAATCTTGATCAAACAGTCCAAATAAAAAACTGTGAAATAACCCATGGGTTTGTTGATATATTGCATATTAAAATGTTTAGACTGGATAGTGGGATGATCCTGCGTTAGTCTAATCCCACATTTAACACTCCCAATCCTAGTCTAAATATTAACCTTAGTATTCAAGAGTTGGTTTGCAGGAATTTGACTGGTGACAGGATTTCATAATCAGCTGACATCAGTTGTCAGAGAACCATTGAGAATCAAGTAAAGAGTATTCGACAGCTGTGTCGTCCCCCTAGTTTGGGACTCTTCATCAGTGTACACCTACTACCAGGGTTCGAACCCAGGACCCTCTGGTTACGAGGTTAGCTCATAGACCATTAAGCCACTAAGGCCAGACCCAATGGCCAGCCCATGAATGCCAACTTCTGTCAACCGGAATGTCCTAAGTCCAAGCCTCAGTAGGTGCGTACTGATGAAGAGTCCCAAGCACCGAGATGAAACAGATGTCCAGTACTCCCAGGTTTTCCAATTGTTTTCTAATATATGTCAGTCCATGATGAAATCCTGTTAAACTTAACTCCAGATAAGTACAAAACTCCTGAAAGCAAATTGTCACTCTGTACTCATGACAGCAAGCTGTCCAGTACTCCTTGCCGGTTCTCAATGGCATTCTGGCTGACATCAATCCGGAATCAAACTTGAAATATATATACATATTGTTTGGAGGATTTCATCATGAGCTAACATCAGTTAGAGAACCATTGGAAAACTTGGGAGTACTGGACGTTTGTTTCATCCTAGTTTGGGGCTCTTCATCAGTGCGCACCCACCGCCAGGGTTCAAATCCAGGACCTTCTGGTTACAAGGCGAGCTAGCTTGTAGACCATTCAGCCACTGGGACCTGATCCAAAGGCCAGTCCATGAAATCTAACTTCTACCAATTCATGACATAGGGCGACCACTTCGCAATAGCATATATATATCGTCATCACAGCTAAGATATTTGCTAAGCTATTCACATATACATACACAAGAGTAGATCTGTGTCCAAATACTAGTTCACCCCATAATCGTATGTCATTTGAATGACTCAGCTAAAAGTCTCACATGGTGTCAGTCAATAAAAGTATAAGACCAGTAACAAAAATGTGAGTTGTAGTCTTAAACCATATCAGGGGCTTACACAATACCGACTACTACTCTATCACATTGACTGCAACAAGGTGTAGACTGAGATATAAACAGGTGATCATCAACCCCAACTAATAATAATATTGATATAATAATAATAATATCAAAGATCCTACTTACACACATGCATTATGATAGTAGAAATGGCAAAAGAAAAGTCTGTATGACTCATATGCGAATAAGATCACAGTAAATACTACCACTTACCAACCTTATTTTTCACATGCTAAATATAGGTTGTACATAGACCAATGTCTCTCAGTCACCACCACTACCACCATCACCACAGCATAAGGAGGTTAGTGCCACTGAGATCAATAGTAAGGGTTAGGATAGTCGTCTATTGTTCCATATCAAACAACACCCCCCCCCCCAAAAAAACCTAATGATTCATTCTACACTCACAGAAGAAAGTCCAATAGACTAATGATCCAATAAGAAAATACTTAAGATGAGACGATTAGTTAGGCTAAGTTACAGCTTAATAATAAGGCTATGACGAAAGTCTTATACTTGTAATCTTTAACTTCAGAACTGAATATGATACACATTTAATTCATGAAAGCGATATGGATTTCCGTAGAGTGACAAGTATTGTAACAACAGAGGGCAAGACACTGAAGTCAAGGTACACTTTTCATTGATCAAACCGCTGTTTATATATACATTTATATTATTATTATAATTATTTATTATTGTTTCCTTTAATTCCTACAGTAACATAGGGCTTCAGCCGTGCGTCTCCATTGCGTTCGGTTCTCTGCTAGAGTCTTCACCTGCCTCCAAGTCTGCCCACACGTTTTCATCTCCTCTTCACATGACCTCCTCCAAGTCACCCTTGCACTGACGACCAACTCGCCGCTTCCCTTTCGGGTTCCACTCACTTGATGGTTTCCTCAGAGTATGGCCAATCTATCTCCATTTCTTCCTGCATATTTCTTGCACAATCGGTTCCTGGTTGGTTCGCTCCCAGAGATCCCTCCCTGTTGCTGATCTCTTCTGGCCATCTGATCTTGAGTAGTATTGAGCGAAGACAGCTGTTAATGAAGGTCTGTAGTTTGTTGGAGATGCTCTTTATGACGCGCTGGCCAAGTCTCTGATCCGTACGTATAGTGAGTAGCACTGACTTCACATTGGAGTTGAAAATCTGGATCTTATTTTTCATGCTGAGTGCTGTTGACCTCCACACAGACTTGAGAGTGGTGAAAGCTTGTCTTGCTTTTCCGATCGATTCTTGCTTTGATATCCTCATCAGTTCCGCCTGTAGTTGGAACGATGCTTCCCAGGTAGGTAAAGGAGGTAGTTTCTTTCAGGTTCCTCCCATTTAAGCTGATTGTTGTCTGTTGTTGTTGTTGCTGTTGGTGGTGTTGCCCAGGAATCTTCATGACCTCTGTTTTCTCTATGTTCACCTGAAGTCCTATCTTCTCTGGATGCTCCTTCTGTCAACTTGTTGCTTTTCGCTTGCATATCTTCCAGTTTGTGGGAAATCAGACATATATCGTCGGCGAAATCCAGATCCTCCAAGTTTTTTGTGTGAGTCCAGTTTATGCCTGTTTCTTCATTGCCCGCTGTTTGTTGGTTATCCAATCTACTGCAATCAGGAAAATCATTGGCGATAGTAGGCAGCCAGCTTGTCTTACTCCCGTCTTCACTTCGAAGGATTCCGTAATTTTCCCGTTGTGGATTACTTGGCATGCAGCATTGTCGTACAGCTGTTGGATGAGATGTATAATTGTCAGTGGCACCCTGTAGTAGCGAAGTAGTTGCCAAAGCACCTCTCGATCGACGCTGTCGAAGGCCTTTTCAAAGTCGATGAAGAGGTGACTGCCATTGCAAGCTTTGTTCAATGATGATCCGTAATGTAGCGATCTGATCAATGCATGACTTCTTTCTCCTGAATCCAGTCTGTTCCCGTCGAAGTTTATATTCTTTAACCAATCACTGAGCGTGTGATTTCGGTTTATATCAAACGACATGAAATAAAATGTTCAAATATACATAGTATTCTTTTGTTAATGCAGTATATAACCGTGGAAAAGTATTCTGTCTCTAACATCAAATAGAATGTTCAAATAGATATATTGTATGCAGTATTGAACTGTGGGAATATGTGAGAATAACATTCCGTTGGCAAACATTGTCTGTATCACACCACCACACTCAACCCCCCGCCAGCAAAAACTTTCGACTGAAGTCGGTTGGATCATCTTGGTGCCGGCGGCTTTGTTAGCACACGTCTTGCTGTATCGAGTTCCGGAGCTCACTGCCGTTCACCCGCTCCTCTTCGCTTGCATTTCTGATCGTACATACGTGACCCCGTCTCACGATGACCATGTATGGTCCTTCCCACTTTAAGAGCAGTTTGCATGACCCTGGCTCGTGTTCGTCGGTGTCTCGCCTCACACTATCATATGCTACCGTCGTCCGATCGCCTAGCAGCATTCCAACTAACAACCTCATCGCTGACGGGTCTTGAATGCCAATCAACTGTGCAACAGCCTCGAAGTCCTGCCTGAAGATCCATATGTCTCCATCAAAAACTGCAGGGAATAGGCTTTCCATTTGTCGGCAGGCAGTGACACCAAATGTAACAACAGAAGGCAAGACACGGAAGCCAAAGTATATCTTTTATTTGATCAAATCGCTGTTTATATATGTACAGCTTATATTTGTTAACTAATCTGTGAGCGTGTGATTTTAGTTTACATCAAACAACAAGAAATAGAATGTTGAAATATACATAGTATTCTGTTGCCAATGCAGTATTGAACTGTGGGAATATGTGAGAATAACAACATTCCGTTGGCATACACTGTCTGTATCACACCACCACAGTATGACATACTGACCAATTCCCAGTGTTAACGAAATTCAATGTTTATTTGGTCAATATGCATAGAGATCAGCTATAGTGAGTGTAGCCTGCTGATACAGACTGATAGGAAAAGGTGAAAAATTGAAATCTCAACATTCTAAGTCGCTCATGGCTGCAGAGCAGTGACTTTATTGCATATCCCAGCTAATTATAGCGTCGTATTCCGTTGCTATGGTGTTTTAATGACAAGTTAGACACATATACTTTTTGTATGCCTTTTAGTTGAAGTTATCCATTAAAAATTCCATATTAGTTTGTTTATTAGATGTATCACACATTGTGTGAAACAGTATTATTATTATTTACTGGATGACACAGTTTCGAACAAAATTTATAACTGTTCATAATCATATCATCAATTATAATCACACGACTTTGAAACTTGAGCTTTATAGTTTTCTTTGTTCTCTCCTATTTGTCGCCGTTGGGGTAGTAGAATTTTGCAGATATCTGGGACAGGTGTTGAATCATTCTTATTACACGTTTTCCCTCTCAGTTGATTCGATGATGTATAAGGCTTCCGTTATCAATCTCTCCCTCCACCCTGCTGTGACATTAGATTTTAAAAATGTCATCTTATCGCATCATCATCGTCCTATTGTATGGTTGTGTGCAATTGCATGTAGTGAGTGCTATAACTGAACTATTCTCTGGACTTCTTATCTTATTCCGGTCAACTAATCTAGATCTCGCTAGGTTTCTGTGCTCTGCTAGTCTGACTGACCCTGTTCTACTACTTTGATCTGACATTCATTGCAGGGTATTAGATAAAATATATTGTTTTGCTTAATGGGCTCCGCTGGCAGGACCCTTTCATCAACAAAGCTTGTTTCTCATTGAGTCTGTGGGTTTGAATACCAGCCACTTTTATTCCTACATGCACTGTTAAGAATTCTCAGCCGTAAGGTGGTTTCCGAGGTTCCTTCTTTATACGGAAATACTACCGACGATTTAGATTCCTTATTGTTGGTGTTTTCATTATCATGAGCATGTTTGACATGCATGTCGTCATTAATATTACTATTATTATAATCACTATCATTACTATCATGATTTATTTTATTTTTACATTTCCCTACATATTTCCTGACTAATTAATCAGTGTAATTATTAAGTTTCAGGGCTTGTCTTATATGTATCATTTCGTGTCTTAGACTTTCCTTGGTGCTACTTAGTTTTTGTGCTCTGTCCCTTAAACATTTCACCAATCCTATTTTCACTGACATAGGATGGGATCATCGAAAATCCGAATATCACTTTGAATGTATGGTTTTCCTGTAAACACACTAGTGTGTTTAACTCCCCGTCTTCTCTCCTTTTTACTCTACAATCTAACATTGGAAGCGCCCCCGCTTCCTGACTTTCCAATTCATAAGTGAATTGAATTCCCTCTACCTTTGAGTTAATGTGTTCAAAAAATCTATCCATATCCTTTTCCAATGTTAGATTGTAGCGTCAAAACGGAATAACTTACTACCAACTCAGTGCCCAAGTTTTACACATATATTCCATAAAAAAGTTGTTTTTTTTCTGGAGCACATATAATCGGTGGCATTATATATATTCTTCAACTGAGTTACATTTGCTGTACTTTTTTCAGGCAATCTTGTTTCATACTGATATCTGTGCAATGTAATCGATTAAAGGAGGCAATAAGTTCAAAAGTTAAACGTATGTATTTTTTTGGATTTTCGCGAAATCATGCTGGTATATTTTGGCCTATTTTTTTTGAAACGCCCTAAAATCCACTGGATAAAGCAGGTGGTGCCAATTCAAGAAAGGGATAAAAGCCGCCATATAATCGCCCGCTGCATGGGGATGGAAGTGTTTATTCCTCAAATCTGAAACTAATTTACGATGTGGTCTTGAAATAATCTCATTGGACAACCTTTCATTTCAACGTTTAACATGGACCAATTGCCAACCAATCAAAACAATTTATTATCCATTGACCTAGACGACTTTTAATATGGTTAAAAATGTATAAATGTATACAAGGTGAATCGAAAATCTAAGTCATAGTAAGCATTCGAAACAGTGGGTACTAAGCTAATAATCTGGAGTCTGGTTATTAAAGGTTATCCCAGATAGTTTGACCCCGAATAAAATAACGACATAGTCTTTACTTCCGAGTAATCCATACAAACGACATTTCTGTATCCACCATGAAGGAACTCATTTGAAGATGTACGATAAATGTTCATTTCATCATGAGCTGATATCGGTTAGAAAACTATTAGAAATCCTGGGATTACTGCACGGCTATTTCGTCCCAGATTGGGACTCTTCATCAGTACACACACCTCTAGCAACTTTCATTTACGAGTCGATCTAGTAGACCATTACGCCACCGAGACCCGATTCAATAGCCAGTCCATGAATCCCAACTCCTGCCAGTTCACGTTATGGCGCGACCACCGGCCAATGTCATCGCTGGCGAGTATTTATTGTCACACCCAACCTGCTGTACCCTACTGGCACCACTGGCCTTATTCAGGTAGATAGCTACCTGGGTTCTAGTGGGAATTCATGACTAGTGGGGTACAGTAGGTCGGTTGTGAGGACAAATACTCGCCAGCAATGAAACTGGCTAGTGGTCGCGCCACATCGTGAATTGGCAGTTGGGTTTCATGGGCTGCCGATTAGATCGAGTCGCAGTAACTTAATGCTCTACGAGGACCCCTCATAACTGTGTTTGAACCCTGCCGGTAGGTGTATACTGTGAAGAGTCACAATCTAGGACGACACAACCGTGCAGTACTCCCAGGTTTTCCGATGGTTCTCCAACCGATGTCAACTCACGATGAAATCCTGTCACCAGTCAAACCCCAGCAAACCAACACTTGAGTAGAATATTCAATTAAATTACTCACCTGAACTGGATAAGGTGTTCGTGCTCTAGCATCCCAAACTAGAACCATTCCATCAACACCAGTTGATAATAAAATTGGACTAGGATCCAAGGCATCAGTATTATAAAATGGTGAAATGAATAGGACAGAATTCACACGTCCAGCATGTCGACGCCATCGGCGGACTGATTGTCCTGTAGCAACATCCCATAGCATAACTAAACAATCTGCTCCACCAGAACCAAGTTGACTATTATCTTTACCTGCCTGAATTTCGAAGGTATAAAATCAATAAAAATAAAAATGAAATTTTATTATTATTACTTTTACCGATACTAAATAACGAATAGTAAGTATAGCTTGAAAAGATCAACTTTTATGACAAAATAGAACCGGAGAGGCCAGGTTTCACAGGCGTAGAGAAAGAATGCGTGCACCGAAGCATTGTAAATCCGACTTTTGACATCCAGGATAACGTCAAGATGGCGTCCGAAGTGGCTCAAGTTGATGTATGCCACACTAGCTTTCATGATACGGCTGGAAATCTCATCCGTCACACCTCCGCCAGCTCTCACAAAACTACCCAGATACACAGACTTATCGACAACTTCAAGCGGTTCACCGGAGACAGTGAGTTCAGGTGGATGCATGCTCCTGCCGATCTTGTAACAGTACCTTGCACTTAGATGACGCAAAACACATACCATACTTACAGACACTGATCGCCAACTGATTAAGTGCTATTTGGGCAGCCTGCATGCTATCGCACAGTGAGACGACATCATCTGCGTATTTGAGGTAGAAAAGTCTCTCTCCGGGGAACAGATATACACCACCAACAGCACGCACGTCCTTCAGCGCTGACTCCAGAATGTCATCAATGGCAAAGTTAGAGAGAACTGGAGAGGTTGAGCAACCCTATCTAACCCCACTGTTTGTTGGGAACAGTAATGATAGCTGGTTTTATGCCCTCACTCTACCTGAAGTATTTCTGTATACGCCTTTCAGGATGTTCACAAACTTCTGAGGTACATCCCTCTCTAACAGACAGTTCCAAAGCACAATTCTGTCCGATGAATCGAAGGTAGCCTTAACGTCACTGAACACAACGACTTTCGACCTACAATACGTGTGGCAGTGTTCCAACAACTGAAGAAACCTGAACACATGATAAATGCATTCACGGTCTGAACGAATTCCAGCCTCCTCTTTCCTAATCAACTCTTCACATGTTCTGCACAGCCTGCGAAGCAAGACAGCAGCTAATATTAATCAGAAACTTTATACATTTATTCCCTTTCATGAATTTTACCATCATTGTTTACTTCTTCAGCTTCTCATCAGCTGCTCACAGCTTAAATAAATTATTATTAAGTTTATGTACAGAAAAGTTTTAACATGCAAATTTTACATGATATCAGTTGACAGGAGGTTCTGAACTTAGTGAACAGTGTTCAGATTTGAAACCTATAGACGAGAACAAAAATGTTTGGTTTAAGTCCAAAATGGTTGATATCACAGAGCGGCATCATATTTCTCTTCCTGCACAGTGGAAAATGTTTACTAAGGAACACAGACTAACGTTAAAAAACCTGCAGAATAATGATAACATCGTCGTTTTCAAACCAGACAAGGGTTCTGGCGTCGTAATAATGGACCGCCGAGACTACATCTTCAAAATAACAACGCTTCTCAGTGATACGAGGGGTTTCCAAGTAGTGGGGTCAAAAAATGATGCAACAACAGCCTTCGAAAACAAAGTAAACAGGCACCTCAAAGAACTGCTTAAAGAAGGACTAATCGATAACATCACCTATAATAACCTAAAAGCAAGTGGTTCACGCCGTTTACCGTTCATGTATGATCAACCCAAAGTTCACAAACCTGATGTGCCATTGAGACATATAATGTCACCATGCCATAAACTGGTTAGGTGCTTGGCACAAAAGTTAGAACCAATTCGAAGAAAGTGGACAGTAGCAAGGGTTGCTTCCAATTCTCATAAGAATTAGACCAACTGAGCATTTCAGGCAAACTTCTCGTATCATACGATGTTTTATTCGCTGTATACTAATATACCCATTGGAGGGACAGTGAGAATCATATGCCAGCTATCCGAACTACTTCCTCTTCCCGAGAAGGAGTTACGAAAATTACTACTCCTTTTTACAAAGAATGTTCAGTTCCGATTCAACAACCATCTGTACTGGCAAACTGACGGAGTGTCTATGGGTTGACCTTTGGGTCCTGTTCTTGTGTACATATTCATGACCGGAAATAGAGAGAACCACTTTTTACTGCAGATATGTTGACGATATGCTTGTGATTTCCAATAAAAATGGATCACTCATCCACGATGTTTGAAAAATTCAATGCAGCTCATCTCTATATTGCATTTACAATGCATCATGAACTTGATAATCACTTCCACTTCCTATATCTCAACATAAAAAGAAGTGATGCGATTATTGAAAAATTCGTCTAAAAGAATGAAACTTGGACTGGTCAATACTTGAATTATAACAGCTTTTGACCTATCGCCAACAAAAGAAGCCTGCTAAAAATGCTTTTTAGCAGAGTCAGGGCGTTATGTTCACAAGATAGGATCGAAGAGGAACTCTCAGTAATCGAAAATAACCTTATCGAAAATGGATACCCTCAAAAGTTCATATCAAAATAAGGGAAGTAAAAGCCACCTAGACCAAAGCCCAACATAGTTCAAGAGAAACAAGTTTTTATCCGCCTAGCGTACAAAGGCGAAGAAGTATCTATAAGAACGGAAAACAGAATTAAATGTGCACTGAAAGGATCATTTCCCGCCGCTAGACTCATCCCACTTTACAACACTGTATGCTCGTTAACTCATCCATCCAAAAGTAAATAAGTATCGTGCTCCATATGTCAGCTCCAACTGCACTTATCAAATCATCTACACTTGCGGCAGCAAGTACACAAGAGAGAATCAGAGGAGAGCGTCTACTAGATTCTCCCAGCATATCCCTAAAAGTTTCCGTTTGAAAGGCAGCAAAGTGGTCTCAAGCGCAATAGCCAGACACCCAGCTGAACGACACGAGACATACAGTGGAAATTAGTCAGGCTTTGAAAATAATCAACACACAAAGAAAAGCATGGGTATTTCGGTTGGCAGAAGACTTCAACCCAACTTATGCATAGAGAAAGATAGTGTGACTAATCTCTCACTACCCTGGTAACCATAATTGTTTTGTTCTGTTGCGCAACATTCCACTCAATCTTGATTTCGATTTCTGTCTTTCCTTATTCAAACTAATAAAGGGAACCGGCTGTATGAAAGTGATTAGAAAATTACACTTATATAGCTTTTGCACAGGGAGTTCAGGTTTAAACAATCAGCGTATGTATACAATGGTAAAGATGTTACGTAATAAAGACAAGAGGTGAGTAAGATGATGAGTAACTAACAAACAGAGTAACAATGTAATGAGTTCAACTCACATCATAGAAACAAGAGACATACAATGTTACACTATATCATCTTACTCGCCTCTTGTCTTTATTACGTAACATCTTTAACATTGTATACATAAAGTGATTGTTTAAACCTGAACTCCCTGTGCAAAAGCTATATAAGTGTGGTTTTCTGAACACTGTCCAGAACCTCCTGTCAACTAACATCATGTAAAATTTGCATGTTAAAACTTTTCTATACATAAACTTATGATGTGAGCAGCTGATGAGAAGCCGAAGAACTAAACAATGATGGTAACATATTATTCTGCGAAAACCACTGTTGTTCTTCCTCTATTCAGAGCCAGTATTTTAGACACAACTCACAACAAAATGACTCCCCTATGGTTGTCACATGTGTTACGTCGACCCTTTGTACAGGTGGGAACGATGACGGCTTCATTGATGGGAAATCCTCATTTCCCCATACTTTCCTGAACAACTCAGTCAAAGCCATAACGGGAATCTCACCATCATCTCTGAAAAGAGACGGGGTTAGATTGTTCTGACCCAGGCGCCTTATGACCTTTCAACACTTGAAGTTCTTTCCGGACTTCCGTTCCGACTGGTGGGTATGTAGTGACCGACTAATGAGTAAGAAATTTAGGTCCAAAGCTTCCTACAGACTACCTCCAACCATCCAAGATATATCTATATAACTAAAGAGAGACTTGACACTCACCTGTACATCCGATACTTCCCCACCATGTCCTGTATACGTTTTCAATAAACGACAATTATATGGATTCCATAATTTTATGGTTTTATCTCCACCAGCTGTCATACAATAATTTCCGTCAGCATTAAAACGTGCTGCACGTACAGCTGATTGACGACAATGAATACGACAATATGGTTGTGTTGGCAAGGCTAATGGCGTTTTCTGTTTATCATCATTATCAGCAGCATCTCCTGAAGTCATTATCCTTAAAAAGAAAATGGAAAAAGGGAGGCGAAAAACGATGAGAATTATAAATTCTATACTGCCTTGCAATCGGTTATCAGTGAAAGAAAGCCACTGGTGATTTTACAAGATACCATGATTTTCCCGTTAACTGAGTGGACCGACATGTTCGTCTGCTTGAGCGGATGCTCCAACCATGTCTGACGATTACCTTGAAGTAATTTGGTTGGTGGCGGTGACTAGCAGTGGAATCCAGTGCATTTCGTCCCACTCTGGGACTCATCATCTGGAGGTAGCTGCAATCCTCAGTGAGTGAGTGATGGTGCCCCCACTGAGACTCGAACCCACTACCCATTGTTCCAAACACCAAAGTGTCACCCACTAAACCACTTGGGCCACGAGTGCCACCTCTTGGGCAACGGATGTCAGTGACTGTTTACAATTCAATTTTTATTTTCTAATTCCAACCTCGATGGAAACACCATCATTCACTAGGGAATGCAGAAATATCCAGCTGACGAGTCCCAGATAGGATGAGATGTGCATAATACAGGATTTCACTGCTGGTCACCATTCACAGAATTACTTCACGTATAATGACCAATTCATACCACAATAATGACACAAGTATTCGAATTTAATAAAATCATCACATCCATAAATTGCCTTAATTTCCAATATCCAGTTTTTTTTATTTTTAAATATCGTCCCAATGACTGAATGCTTAACGAACTCTCTTCTTGTTAGCCTTAAGTTCAGGGGTTTCAATCGCCAATGTGACTATGGGTGAATACTGGTGCAGAAAGGGCCATGACTAGAATACTTCCAGTGGTTTTCTAATTGAAGTCAGCCTGTGATCAAACTTTGAAACAAGGTTTACATTGATTTTGGTGTGTACTACTGACAAGATTTATAAGTAGTATGTAAACGCAGATTGATAGGAAGCAACCAAAATTGAAATGAGCATTTTACGCCAATCACTGCAAAGGCAGAAGTGTTTATTCCTCAAATCTAAAACTAGTTCACAGTGTGATCAGGAAATAATCTCATTGGATAAAATTTTCGTCTGACTATTTAACCTTGAGTCAATCAACCAATCGACCAATCAGAACAGTTAACGGTCCGCTCACCTAGCCGAATTTTAGTGTGATTAAAAATGTATAAATATGACGGGATTCTCATCAATAAAGGTTCGTTACCAAGTTCTCTCGTCTTCCGACGTTACATTTCTACCTGGTATCAGATTATCAGGTACATATCAGCTACCAGATGTACGATAGACACTTTTCTAGTTATGCAAAATCTGACCATTACAAAATTCATCAATCGAGTCAAAATTACCTTTGGAAAAGTGTAGCGCAAGTTTATACAGATACTATTTGGTTTAATAGACTACTGTACAAATCTGTGTACACGGCTAGTGAATATTGTTGAAGAATCCCAAACTGGGACGAAACAACTATCCAGTGGGAAAGCGGCTTTTCAGTGGTCTGTTGGTTGATGTTAGTAAGTGAAGAAGTCAACGCTGAAATCGAAACGACCCAACCCCATGAACACAAGATATGAACTTCTGAATATGACAAGTGTTAAGAAAACTAAATACCCCTCCAAGAGTATAAAATGAGTATAACCACATTACTGTCTTCAATTACAAGCCAAAATACTCCATTCATCTCCGCCTCACTCAGTGGTAATATTATTTATTATGATTATTATTCCCTTGGGTTCCAAGTGGGACATAGGGCTACAACAGCACATCTCCATTTCACCTCGTTCTCTGAAGTTCTCTTCAGCTGAATCCACGAACGCCCATAGTCTCTCATCTCCTCATTGCACGATCTCCTTCATATCACCCTGAGACTCACGCCAAACTCTTCGTTTCCCACTCGACGGCCTGGCTCGCAATGTTACTTGACGGTCTCCATAGTGTGCGTTCAATCCATCTTCAATTTCTTTGGGATGTATGTTGAGTAACAGGATCATGACTGCTTCATTCCAAGACTTTTTTTCTGGCCATTTGATCTTCAGTATGAAGCCAGTAAAGGCAGCTATTGATAAAAGTTTGCTGCATCCTGTGTCGAAAAGATTCTCAGGACGACAGCTTCATATTTCTGACCTATATAGAATAACTAACTGATTCATCATTGGTGTTAAAAATCCGGATTTTGTTCTCTATGCTGAATGCAGAATACTTCCAAACAGATTTCAATGATGAAGGTCTATCCTGTCTATCCGATCCTGCCTGGCTTCTGCATCCTAATCCGTGACGTTGCCTGTAGTTGAGACGACGGTGTACAGCTAGATAAGTGAAGGAAGCGACCTCTTCCAAATATATTCCGTTGATAGTGGATAGTGATTGTTGGCAACTTGTTGGTTTTCGCCCATCAGTCTTCGGATTTGTGTGGGATTATGCATAATTCGTCTGCGAAGTCCACATCTTCTAGAGTCTTCTTATCGGTCCGACACACTCTTGGGTTCTCACTCCCCAAGCACAGTGTTCTGCATAATCCAGTCCACCACAATTAGGAATGCCATCGGTAACAATATAACAATACTAATAAGTATGATTAGGCAAATTAAAAGTCAACCTGAGACCGAGCACTTCGGTCCAATCAATCGACGGGAAAATCTAAAATTCAATTAAATAATTAATATGACCCGTAGCACAAGAGATGGCTCTTGTGGTCCAAGTGGTCTAGTGGATAACGCTTTGGCGTTTGAAACTATGGGCACTGGGTTCGAGCCCCGTTGGGAACATCATCACTCACTGGGGAATGCAGGTACATCCGTTGCCTGACGAGTCTCAAATAGGACGAAATGCGTGTTGTCCTGGATTCCACTGCTAGTCACCATCCACCAATTAAATTCTAATTACATGCCCAGACATCGTCGAAGCATCTGCACAAGAAGCCGACATGTCAACCTGAAACCAAGCACTTCGGTCCAATCAGTCGACGGGAAAATCTAAAATTCAAATAAATAAAAAGTGTTTCGGTCGTCTGATTTTTTTCCGCTCAGTGTATGGCTTAATAATGTTAAATTCTCCCCATTATTCGCTTGTTTCTCTAACTGATGTTATGCATAAGTATTATAGTTTTACTATCAAATAAGACTTAAATAAACAGAGTATTTTCTACAACACCTTTGGCTTTTCAGATTTTGTGTTTGTAGGGGATTTTTCGAAACATTTCCACGTACATTTTGTCACTAGAGGATGCTAGTGGTCGAATTATTTATTAGTCGATCCCTGGTGGGGTCTTGAGGTGCACTCTTAAGGAGTTCCACACCAGTGCTCCTAAATCTTCAATAATACTCCGACCGATGTCAATTCGTGACAAAAAGCATAGTAACATTTACTTTCACCTGCTGAAATTGTCTAAATTTTTCATCATGAGCTGATATCGGTTAGAGAATCATTAGAAAACTAGTAGGGAGTAATGGACAGCTGTTCCGTCCTAGTTTGGGACTCTTCACTAGCACTACTAGGGTTCGAACCCAGGACCTTTCGGTCACAGGGCGAGCTCGTACACCACTAAGTCACTCGGACCCGATCTAATGCAATGGCCATAACCATGAATTTCAGCTTCTGCCATTTCAAGACATAGCGCGACCACTAGCCAATGTCATCGCTGGCGAGTATTTGTCCTCACACCCGACCTGCTGTACCCTAATTTTCACGACTTTTTCACCGATTGTTATATACTACTGATTTTCTTCGCTGAATTTGTCTTTTATTTTCGCCAAATACTCCCCCCTCTTAAATAAAGATTTACTAGAAAAATACCGACAACAAATAATAATACACCCTAACCCTAACATGCTATCAACGCATTGTCCAAACAGTAATTAAACACGAGATCACAATGAAATTTACACCTCAATTGGTGCACAATGGTCACACACTGGTACTTGTACTAACGGTAGATTCTGAAATCCAATGGACGGCATGCGTTCAAGGTCAGTCATCGGTGTGTTTGCTGTTCTATAGGTTGGTTCACACCCATTCACAACGTGTACACACCAACATGAATCGAAGTGACACGGAGGTGGTTTGCCAACTTAAGTGAATTCGTTATCTTCAAAACAGATCACATTTATGAATTCTACGTAGAACTATGTAGAATTAACCATAATGACTCTGATGATCTAATTCCTAGTTTGTGATTTGACCAATATCACTGATAAAAAAGGGTGGTTACACTCTGACTTTCTTCTCAAAATGCTCTCACATACACAGCCAAATGAGTTATATTCTCTACTTGGGAGTTTTTTCTCTTACAAAAAGAGTAAAACACCGAAGGCAAATGTTCAATGCTTATCACCAGATTGGTGGACATGACATAGAGTTCCAACTAGAGACTGTTGAAACTATGACTCCCCTCCCAAAGGATCAAAATGGTTTACCAACTTGTTTTAGTCATCGATAATCATGGCAAAGTAGTTGTTAACGTCACTTTGCTGTTTTGTGGATCAAGTCGAAGAAGGTTCGTGAAGTAGTGGTCCCCCCACTTAGGACGCGATAGACACCGGCTACTCTCATTTTAGCATCCGCGAGTAGGAGTTATCTCAGCACTCGCACAACGTGTAGAGCATTTCTTGGTGCTCAATACTTTACTACTACTAAGTAGGTATTCAATTAACAATAATAATGATAATAATAATAAACCTCGCCTAGATTACTAGCTCGCTAGTTTTCTAGCCGGTCCCAAAACAAGAACCAATTGCCCAACAAATATGCAGGAGAAAGTGGAGATGGATTGAACACTCGTTGAGGAGGCCGTTGGGTGACATCGCGCATCAGGCCAACGCTCGAGTGGAACCCGGAAGGGAAGCGGCGAGTGGTTCGTCGGTGCAAGGGTGACATGGAGGAGATCGTGTGAAGAGGAGTTGAAACAGTATGGACTAACATGGATGCAGGTGAAAAGTACAACAGAAGACAGAAGCAAGTGGAGACGTGTAGTTGAAGCCCTATGTTCCAATAGGAACCCAAGGGAATAACAATAATAATAGATCTATAA